TCATTCTATATTCTAAATATTATTAAAATGATGATCAATAACATTTAGTAACATATATTAAATTGAATTATGATATAGAATAGGTTATATATATTAATTATTTTACTAACTGAACAATTATATTTGAAAGACAATTTAATAATATTTAAGTAATGGTATTTTTGTTAAAATGTCTTTAAATGATACAATTCTTATACAATCATATAATATATAATTACCAAACTAAATGTAAGACGATAGAGTTTTAGAGCGTAGTCCATAAGATACATTAAGAATTCCACCAAGATTATCAATGATGGAAAAGAAATGTAGTGGTCGTTTTACGTTTGTGAAGACTTAAGCTGAGGAATAGAAAGAAGTAGTTCAAAATAATATGAATCGAATAAAATAACAATTTAGATGTAAATGTTAGGAATTAAATATAGGTTAACTCAATCACATAATAAATAAACCTATTTAACCACTTTAAATGAGAGAAGAATAACTATTTGAATTGGGTAGGAAATTAGATATTGAAATAACATCAAGTGATGTTGAAAACATTGTACCAAATACAAAAGAGTTTTTTGAAGAGTATGAGATGCATGAAAGATTAGGTGAAGGTTGTTTAGGGTTAGTTAAGAGAGTAGTATAAAAAAAAACTGGTTAAGAATTTGCTGTAAAAATTGTGGCTACCTAAGATGATGAGATTATAAGAAATGTAAATGATATTTGAAATATGATTAGATGATTAATGAGTTTAAGAGATTAATAAAATTATCACATGGGAATATAGTTAAAGCATACAAAATGTATTTAGATTTTGATAATGGATTCTAATCTGAAAGTCAAGCTTATGTGATAATGGAACTCATTAAAGGAAAGGAAATGTTTGAAGTAATAAATGAAGCAGGACATTATAGTGAACATGATGCAAAAGAATTATTCAAATAATTACTTAGTGCAATTGAATATATGCATAGAAATGGTATATGTCATAGAGATTTGAAACCTAATAATATACTTTGTCTCTAAGGTAATATAGTAATTTATACTTCAAAATAGATAAAAAATTAATCAAAGTCACTGATTTCAATGTTAGTAAATTCAGTGATTCCTATAAAGAATTTGGAAATCTATAAGATACTGAAAAAATTGAAATGTGGACATATACAGGAACTGTGGCATTTTCAGCTCCAGAAATATTTACTGGTGAAGGATACAAGTAAAAGAAATCTCAATTATTATTATAGTTAAATGGTTGATATGTGGAGTGCAGGATGTATTTTATATTCAATGTTGTCTGGTTAATTACCATTTAATGCAGATTAGTACATATATTCATTAAATATAATCAGTTTGAATGATCTAATTGAATCTATCAAATTAGCTAAATATGAGTTTCCTGATGAAATATTTTAAGAAGTCTCAAGTGAAGCCAAAGATCTAATCCAATAAATGCTTAAAAAAGATCCAGCTTAGAGACCCCATCCTGATGAGGCTCTTAATCATCCTTGGTTTGAAGAAAACATTGTTATGAGAAAAACTTTAAGACATCTAACTATAAATTAAAACATATCTCATCTTTCCTCTAGGAATTCTAATAAACTAAGGCAAAGAACCATTCTTTTATAGAAAGAGCATTATGGTGGTTCTAGTGATGGAGATGATGGATATACTATCTAGGATATAAAATTAAAAGGTCCTGCTCGAAAAAGTCTTTTTAATACTGCTATAGACCCATTACAATTATAATCAGATAATAAATACTTGAAAGTGTAGAATGGAATACTTCGCAAATCAAATACAACTCATATACATGATTTTACATAAAATGAATAATAGTGATATATAAAATTAATTTAATAAAATAATTTTGGTTATCCAAAAATATCTTATTTTATATATTTTGCTATTTTTAAGCAAACATATCATATTATTTTTTGTAATGATCTGCAGCTGTTGTTGAAACTACTAGTACAGATACTATATATGATAAATTTTTTATTTTATATTAATTTTTTAAAATTATTGAATTGCATGGATATTTGTAATGGATTTCTATAGATTAAAATGGTTGATTATGTCATGATCATTGAAGACATATTTCAATCATATCACATTATGAGATATAATTAATATTGAGAAACGTTATCTTTCTACACGATAATATTGAATATTTGAAAAATATTAATCCATTAATCATTTTTTCAGATAATTTTGTCAATAATAAATTATTCTAAAAAGTATGTATATATAAATTATAATAATATAAATAGATATCAATTAATTATATATTTAGATATGAATCTTCTCTTTATCTAATCAAATTTATATGATAGAGAAATAATGTATTATTTTTTAAATTAGATACTTAATTCTGATATTCTAATAGCTAATTACAAATAGATTATTGTCATAACTGCACTTATAAACAATAATTTATAATTGACACAATATAATATTTATAATAATTTATATTCAATAATATAAATTATTTTATATTTTTATAATAATATAAAATAATCTTTATATTTGCATAAATGTTTGTAAAAATCAATATGTTGTTGAAAATATTTGTATTTCTAAAATTTGAATAATAATAACTTATACTAAAAAGTATTAATATTAGTAAAAATAATAATTCTAAGACAAGATTTTTATTTATGACATATTATATTTTCATAAAAAGTACTACTTATAATAATTATCAATATATCTAAATCAATAGAATTATCTTTATATAATCATTCATAGTTCCAATAATACTGATAAAAAAAGAAAATTAATAAGTCCTAGATTTTTAATTTTTCATGAACAATAATGAGTTTATTATTTTATTATCTTATGTTCTTATAAATGGATTCTTCAAATATTAAATTTACTAAAGTTTACAATAATTATATGTTTTCAGATTGAAAATTGTAAAAACAATTAATATTGTAAGATTAAATGTTGTTAAGGTCATGGAATTTATTAAGAGAAAGAAAGGAATAAAAATATGGTTATGATAATATTTAAAGGCTTGGATAGAATATTTATATTGATAATGATTAAATGTTTGGTATACTTAAATATTGGAGAAATGTAAATATACTTTTTGATAATATTTTTATATTCTTATTAGCTTATGTGTTTCGTAAGGGACTTGAATAGAATATATTATATTTGGATATGTTTACAATAAAAGTAATTGAACACGTTTCGTAATATAAATTCTAGAAAGAGAATGATTATATAAAGAATGTATTTATAATTGTTTGTCTGAACATAAATACTCAATATCCAGAATCAGCAAGGTACTTTGCCATATCAATGACACGCTTGTTGCAATCGCTAGCATTCTATGGTGCACCATTTTCAGCATTGATGGTTTGGGAGAATGAAGCAAAGACAGCAACTGTATTAGACCAAGCAACACAAGCTCCGCCTTTATTCTAAGATAATGAATTATTTATATACCTTCTTTAAATACCATGTCTTAGATTCTCCATCAAATTAAACTGAATAATATTTTTAGTTATTGATTCTAACTCCAGCTTTATTACCAGACTCTCCATTGTGAGTAAGAGCATGAACAAAAGCAGCTTTTTCATCATAGGCAACCTTAGTTATTACGTCTGGATTTTTCTCATCTGGTACTTCAGCTTAATATGAAGGGAGGACAGCAACACCAAAATTGCTTGCCCAAATGTTTCCATCTAATCCAATGATGGCAGCATATTCTAGTGCACCATTGGCTGTTAAATTTGTCACATAAGCATCCCAAGACATTCTTAGTTAATATAATTATTAAAAACATATCTTCTTATAATGCAATATATATAATGAATTAATTTAAGATACTAAATACTTAAAGAGTATTAATAATGGAATATAAGGTTATATTAATATTCCATAGATTATAAAAATTTCGATTAACTAATTTTGTTGAAACTCTAAAGATTTCAAACATATATCTTTACCAATTTGTAGTAATTAATCAAAATTAAAGTTTTCTCACTATTTAAAATGTTAAATATGTATATAAGTATATTTAGAATGTAGAAAAAATTATATTTATAATAAATATGATGATAATTATAATATATTTTAGATATATGTGTATTCAAAATTAAAAAATACATTTATCCTCCATTTTACAACTTAGGATGTGATAAATTTTATTTAAAATTTTAAAGAAATATTTAATAAACTTTTATTTCTTATTGAAATGGTATTACAATAATATCATAATTTAGCCATCAGCCTAAACTATGAAATTAAGAAATAAGATTAATAGAAACAATATTAATAGATAAGGTAATGTACCAAAGTCTCTAATGGTAAATACTTACATTAATTTAGAAAACTGAAGAAGCTGCAGCCATGGGTCCTATTCTCTTAGGAGTATTTCTTTTTGTAGTTGTTGGATCAGGTATGGAATTCTTATTATTATTAGCCATCTTCTAAATTTTGAATGTTTTATCTAATGGTAATGAGTTGTGAATTAATCAATGATAATATAATTAGTATATTTATAAATTAAATTAGAAATAAATAAATAAAAAAGTATTTAATTTTAGATAATTCCTATCAAATATATAATAAATAAGACACTTTATCAAAATAATACAGTAAATAGAGGTATCTTTTAATAGGATTAATGCTTAAATATGATTAATTATTGATTCAAATTAATAGACATAGATGTATAATTAAAAGGTAATTAATTGAGTTAAGTTAGGTTTAACTTATTGGAATCCATAAGAATTCAAAGAAATAATGTAATTAGTATTTATTAAATTGTTAATATTTGTAATTTTAGAAAGAATTATCCAATATATTTGAGAATTCAAAAAAAACTATAATAAAAATATTAATGAAATATATAATATTCCAAAAAATTTTGTTGATAAAAATATTAAGTTTAAGTGATTATTACTTAAATTAAGTATTAACCTTAATATCATATATAGTATTTAAGATATTCTCTGTAGATTTCAGATTTATAATAAATAATTATATAATTACCAATATATATGCTTTCCGATCAAATTAAATAGGTATTGACAACTAACACTACGTCTTTTCTCGCCCCTAGGTTCTCTCGAAAAACTACACTACTTAAGAAGAGAAATAAAGCTCTTTCGTCTTGTAGTATTGAAGACATTGCTACATACACATAATAAAAAAGCTCACAATAACCTTAATCTAAGTAACAAATAATAAGATCGGAATCATAACACAATCCAATAACTCCAATAGCAACTCCACAATAGAGTAATTCAGTGAGTTGTCAAACAAATACATCTCTATTCGATGAACAGCTACCTGACATTCCTGCATCTGATCCAATTTGGCTTGAGATTATTCCTTAGGAGGTTTTGCAAGGATCAACAGTAGAATAACTTCTCGAAGACAATAAAGATTACTTTTATTATTTATTAGGATTGTATCTACAAGAATAAATGCATGGAGATTTTAATATGAACAAATTTATATTGCCAACTAAATGGTAAAGTTAATATGGACGTGATTTTCCATTAAAATAAANAAACAATATTAATAGATAAGGTAATGTACCAAAGTCTCTAATGGTAAATACTTACATTAATTTAGAAAACTGAAGAAGCTGCAGCCATGGGTCCTATTCTCTTAGGAGTATTTCTTTTTGTAGTTGTTGGATCAGGTATGGAATTCTTATTATTATTAGCCATCTTCTAAATTTTGAATGTTTTATCTAATGGTAATGAGTTGTGAATTAATCAATGATAATATAATTAGTATATTTATAAATTAAATTAGAAATAAATAAATAAAAAAGTATTTAATTTTAGATAATTCCTATCAAATATATAATAAATAAGACACTTTATCAAAATAATACAGTAAATAGAGGTATCTTTTAATAGGATTAATGCTTAAATATGATTAATTATTGATTCAAATTAATAGACATAGATGTATAATTAAAAGGTAATTAATTGAGTTAAGTTAGGTTTAACTTATTGGAATCCATAAGAATTCAAAGAAATAATGTAATTAGTATTTATTAAATTGTTAATATTTGTAATTTTAGAAAGAATTATCCAATATATTTGAGAATTCAAAAAAAACTATAATAAAAATATTAATGAAATATATAATATTCCAAAAAATTTTGTTGATAAAAATATTAAGTTTAAGTGATTATTACTTAAATTAAGTATTAACCTTAATATCATATATAGTATTTAAGATATTCTCTGTAGATTTCAGATTTATAATAAATAATTATATAATTACCAATATATATGCTTTCCGATCAAATTAAATAGGTATTGACAACTAACACTACGTCTTTTCTCGCCCCTAGGTTCTCTCGAAAAACTACACTACTTAAGAAGAGAAATAAAGCTCTTTCGTCTTGTAGTATTGAAGACATTGCTACATACACATAATAAAAAAGCTCACAATAACCTTAATCTAAGTAACAAATAATAAGATCGGAATCATAACACAATCCAATAACTCCAATAGCAACTCCACAATAGAGTAATTCAGTGAGTTGTCAAACAAATACATCTCTATTCGATGAACAGCTACCTGACATTCCTGCATCTGATCCAATTTGGCTTGAGATTATTCCTTAGGAGGTTTTGCAAGGATCAACAGTAGAATAACTTCTCGAAGACAATAAAGATTACTTTTATTATTTATTAGGATTGTATCTACAAGAATAAATGCATGGAGATTTTAATATGAACAAATTTATATTGCCAACTAAATGGTAAAGTTAATATGGACGTGATTTTCCATTAAAATAAAAAGAAAGATAAGAAATTATTAAAAATACTGTCTATGAAGATTATAAGTCTCCTTAAACTTCAGAGTTTTCAAAGACCAGTTATAAAACTCATTTTTCAGCATATCCACCAAAAGATTACAATCCTAAATTAGAAAGAAGAAAGTATGAGAAAAGTGAGTTACAATTTGCTACATTAACAACATATAAAGTATAATATTTATTTATTATATTAGGCCAATCATTTTGATTTCCAAACTAATTTCAAACCTGAAAAAGTAACAGCATCTAAACATTTGACAACTGGAGGACTCTCATTATCTAGTTAGACTCTTTATAAAACAGAATATTAATGGCCTTAACCAATAGAATAACCTACAAATTGTAAAAACATTTATTCAAAATTGTAAATAATCTCATTATTTTAAATAAGAAATCCAATTCAATCTTCTGGAATCTTTTTCGATAAATAAAGAGAAGTCTATAATTAATTTCCAATTGATCCAATATCTAAATAGACACCTTATTCATAAACTCCTACATATTAAAAATAATATATCTCTACAACTAAAAAGTATTAAATGTTCTAAATTTAAATTAGTGATTTTTAGGGAGTAAGACTTGGAGAAGTAACTCAAATGAAAAACTGGAGATAAAGTGTCATTAGGAGAATGAATTAATTGAGAAAACAATCGCAAATATGATTTTTAATTTCAATATTCATCTAATTTCTTATGTACTTTTGAGAAAGCTGTACTAGTATTAAGTCCATCAAACTTGTAGGTGTCTCCCAAGAAAGCCTAAGTGAATCTAGCATCTCTAGGATAATATTTCTCAATCAACTCAAATGATGTTGGATTCAACTGTCCATATTACATATTAGATGTTTCATATATTGGTAATCCTTTTATCAATCATAAACTTATACCAACATTGATTCCTTAAGGAGGAGCCTTGTACTCTTATTCAGTGACATGAAACTTCTTTGATGGTACCTTGTTATCTAATTTTCTTCGTTGTTTTTCTTCTTCAGATATAGGTTAAGATAACTCAAGTCCTATGGTTTAAGCAACCAGTTTATTTTTAAGTAATTTTTCAGCTCTTCTAAAGTCCTAATCATATTAATAATGGAATCATCACTTGCATTTGACGTACAATTTCAGCATAAGTAGGCACAGGACATGATGTCATATCAACCTACTGTTATCCACTATGTAATAACCAACCATCACCATATGATTAGTTATTTGTAATATAATGAGCTGATTGATTTTTATTCATTTTATTAATGAAACATCATGCTAAATTATTAATCCTATGTTCATTCAATTCTATTGGATATTAGCTATTAGATCAAAAAATAGAAGAGTATCTTAAAACTAATCAAGAGGAAATAGTTCTATATTTAGTAGGAACACCTATTACATATCTAAAGATATATGAACAAATATTATTTCATCTTTATGGGAGAATAAAATAATATCCTACAAAATTCATAGTGATTTTCGATATATTTAATAAGGAATTAAGAAATAAATACCAATTCGATTTGGTAATAAATTTAGGAACTAATTTATAAGGAGATTTCAATATTCAACTTAAAATAAATCATGAAATATAAAAAATCTAATTTTAGTAAGAAGGTTATACAGTAAATCAATTTTAAAGAGGTGCTAATAGTGGTACTTTTGATCATTTACATATTGGACATAAAATGCTTTTAAGTTTAAGTTTATTAGCTGTGAGTTAGCATTTGACTATAGGAATAACTAGTGAAATATTATTATAAAAAAAGAAATTAAGAGGTTTCATATAATCATACAACACTCGTGTTAGATGTGTAAAAGAGTTTTGTTCAATGTTTAGACCTGATATTGAATTGTAATTTTCTGAATTGATTGATTCTAATGGTCTAAAAGGATAATATGAAATATTGATTACCACATAAGATTGTTAAAATTCTATAGAGAATATCAATAATCTTAGAAAATAAGAGGGTTTGAATGAAATAAATAGATACATAATGGGTATAATTGAAAATTAGAATCATTAAGGGGATGGTAAAATATCTTCAACATAATTTAGAGAATAAATCTCATAAAAGAATAGATTAACAGAATATGAATATTTGGAACTTAGAACAGAATGGTTATCAGTGAGTAATAATTTATATTGGTTTGAATCTATACTAGTAGATTATTATTCATAACCTTAAAGGTATTATCATACATTAAGACATATTTATGATATGTTAAAATAATTAAAAGGAATTAAAAACATTAGAAATGTTAAATTGGCAACATTCTTTCATGATATAATATATTATCCAAAAATTCATGATAATGAAGAAAAAAGTTGTTTATTATTTTAATAATTTGCTAAAGAAGGTAATATTGATACAGATATTGTGTCAATTTTTATTTTATAAACAAAGAGTCATTAAACAGATGTACCATTCTTACCTGAGAATGATTTATCAGATCTTATGATATATTTAGATGCTGATATGTCTATATTAGAATCTGATGCATATCCTATTTATGCTTAAGATATAAGAAAAGAGTATTCTCATTTATCAGATTAAGAATATAAAACTAATAGAATTGCTGTTTTATAAAAGTTCTTGCAATCTAAAATATTTAATTTGAGAAATGAAGAAAAAGCAAGAAAAAATATATAAGAAGAGATTGATATATTATAAAATTGGGTAGTGTGACAATGAAATATAATATCATTTATTAAAAAATGATTAAATTTTAAAAATTAGATCAACCATAAACCAGTCTAGATATAATTAAAGTATCATCTCCTTAGAATAATCGATTTTATATTGTCCATCCATCACCAATTGAAATCTAGACTTAAACATAAAATTTCTTTTGTGGATCATCAGAATTATTAAAATAAATACCTGTTCATGATAAAGGACCTAAATTAGATTCTAAAGGATAAATTATTAGACATACATTAGTTGGTTCTGTTCAACAATTTATGCTTGAAAAATAAAGAAGACTAAGTACAGGTAAGAAACCATAAGTCAAGTTATAGACTTAATTATAACCAGAATTTGAAGCACCACCTTTAGTTAATAATAGTTACACAAAATGTAAATATATACTTAATATTCTTAAGTAACTGAATTTATGTCAAGTAAGGATCTTGTTAAAAAATCACCAAATAAAGTCAAATCTAAAGAATACCAACTGATCTAATTAAATGAGGAATAAGTACAATAAGAAATAGTAGATGTAGAGAGAAGAGTAAAAATCAATTAAGCTGAAGTAAAACATGCCCCATGATTTAAGACTGCCAAAATGAATTAAGAAATCAAATAACAGCTCAATAAAGGAGATCAACTTAAAATGGATGCTTTTATAAGGGCCATGACAAATTATGAAAATACATAAAGTGATTGGGAATAAACTAAAATTAAAGTGAGTTCTAGAATCTCTAGAAAAACTGGTTAATCCATGAATGAAAAAATTGAATAATTTAGAGTTAAATAAGAAGTTAAATAATTGTTAGATCATATAACACCAATTGATTAAAAATTAGGAAATGATTATTGGGTAATTTATCCTTTCTATACAGAAATAAGGATTAAGATCTCAAGAATCAACATTAAAAAGGAAGAATCCCTATAAGTACATTGACAAATTAGAAGAAGATCCAAATTATCAAATAGATAAAAAGCCTCCTGTTATTGAAATTATTAGAGGTTAGAATTCTAGTGCCAAAGGTTTTAGACCTTATTCATCATTTACTTCTCGTTTTTATTTAGATAGAAAATTAAAAGAGAATGAAGAACTAGTTAAGAAACTTATTCCATAAAATTTAGATGAAATTGATTAACTTTAATTAACTGGATAAAATATAATGAAATAAGAAATAAATTCTGTTAGAAATCCAAGAGATAGTTTTGTTAAAATTACAGGTTCTTTTGCAAATAGTTAAGGAGGTTTTAAAACATATTTTAAGAAGGTACCAATCAAATAAGAATATTAATAACCAGATGAAGTGATAGTTTAAAATTATGATAAAAAGAAAATATTAAATACAGGATAATTTGGAAGTTTGAAAGGATATTTTTGAATATATTTTAATCATAAATTTCAAGCTTTGAGTATTTTATATTATATTCTTTTTATTTTAAGAATTTATAATAACATATTAAGTATATTATTATTTAATTAAATTAATAATTATATTATAAATTTTCAATTGTGAAGTCTATTTGTAAGATTTATTTCCGATAAGACTTAGTATTGTTTAATAATATTTGAATTATTAACAACTTACTCAATCTATTATCCATATAATTCTAATCTATATTTATAATTCTAAAATTATACTTTTTGTTTAATTCTGAATTTAAAGTTTACTGTGTTTACAGTTCACTTTTCAATTAAACTAATTCTGATTTCATAGAATTTTCTTTTTAATTTAATTTTTTCTTTGTATTTGCTAATTCTTCATTCTAACTAATTTACAATTATTAAACTTCTTGTTCAGTCATATTCTTTTCTTCTTCTAATAAATTTTATAGAGTATTTGTAGTATCCTATAATTCACTTTATAATTTGTGAATATTCAATTCTTTTGTCTAAATCTAGATTCTTAATTATTCAATTGTCTAATCTTTCTCTCTATTTTAATGTTATAGATTTTTTATTTATCTTTCAGCATTCATTTTTTCTCTTTGTAAAGTAGATTANAATAAACTAAAATTAAAGTGAGTTCTAGAATCTCTAGAAAAACTGGTTAATCCATGAATGAAAAAATTGAATAATTTAGAGTTAAATAAGAAGTTAAATAATTGTTAGATCATATAACACCAATTGATTAAAAATTAGGAAATGATTATTGGGTAATTTATCCTTTCTATACAGAAATAAGGATTAAGATCTCAAGAATCAACATTAAAAAGGAAGAATCCCTATAAGTACATTGACAAATTAGAAGAAGATCCAAATTATCAAATAGATAAAAAGCCTCCTGTTATTGAAATTATTAGAGGTTAGAATTCTAGTGCCAAAGGTTTTAGACCTTATTCATCATTTACTTCTCGTTTTTATTTAGATAGAAAATTAAAAGAGAATGAAGAACTAGTTAAGAAACTTATTCCATAAAATTTAGATGAAATTGATTAACTTTAATTAACTGGATAAAATATAATGAAATAAGAAATAAATTCTGTTAGAAATCCAAGAGATAGTTTTGTTAAAATTACAGGTTCTTTTGCAAATAGTTAAGGAGGTTTTAAAACATATTTTAAGAAGGTACCAATCAAATAAGAATATTAATAACCAGATGAAGTGATAGTTTAAAATTATGATAAAAAGAAAATATTAAATACAGGATAATTTGGAAGTTTGAAAGGATATTTTTGAATATATTTTAATCATAAATTTCAAGCTTTGAGTATTTTATATTATATTCTTTTTATTTTAAGAATTTATAATAACATATTAAGTATATTATTATTTAATTAAATTAATAATTATATTATAAATTTTCAATTGTGAAGTCTATTTGTAAGATTTATTTCCGATAAGACTTAGTATTGTTTAATAATATTTGAATTATTAACAACTTACTCAATCTATTATCCATATAATTCTAATCTATATTTATAATTCTAAAATTATACTTTTTGTTTAATTCTGAATTTAAAGTTTACTGTGTTTACAGTTCACTTTTCAATTAAACTAATTCTGATTTCATAGAATTTTCTTTTTAATTTAATTTTTTCTTTGTATTTGCTAATTCTTCATTCTAACTAATTTACAATTATTAAACTTCTTGTTCAGTCATATTCTTTTCTTCTTCTAATAAATTTTATAGAGTATTTGTAGTATCCTATAATTCACTTTATAATTTGTGAATATTCAATTCTTTTGTCTAAATCTAGATTCTTAATTATTCAATTGTCTAATCTTTCTCTCTATTTTAATGTTATAGATTTTTTATTTATCTTTCAGCATTCATTTTTTCTCTTTGTAAAGTAGATTAAAGAGATATTAATTATTATTCTTATTCTGAATTCTACTCCTTTTATATTTATACTTACTCTTCTAATTCTTCTATTTATTTTTATGATTAAATCTTTATCTATTCATTCTCATTAGATACTTGAATCAATTTATTCTAATATTCTAAATAATAATAATACATATGATTAATTATTCAATTACTTAAACTATATTAAAGTAGTTTCATATTGTTTTTCTTTTAATTCTATTATTTAATTTAAACTTTAAATTTATTATTACAATTAATTCATTAAAGCTGATTATTATTAATTATAATTAATCAATTCTATCTTTTATAATTCATAATCTTTATAGTTTTTTTAAATTTAACTTTAATATTCTTCTGATTATTATAAAATCTATTATAAAATTCATAAAAATATTATACTTCTTTTTTTTAATTATTTATTATAATCTATGATTTTTCTTAATCTTTTTGATTGCTCTATAGTAATTATTAATTATATTTTTATAATTCATTTAATTAATTTTATTATTCTAAAATCTAATTCTTTTAATGATTTATTTATTTTTCAAGAATTTATATTTAATTAATGAAATCACTCTTTTATTTCTCTATATTTTTTTCATGTTAAATAATTAGATTTTTCTCAACATTCAATTATTCTTCTAAATTCTTCTATTCATTTTTAATCATTTTCTATTCTAAAATTTCAAATTAATTTCTTATTGTCTATGTTTCTTCCTCAAAATTTGTTCTCATTCTTTTATTCTATAATAATAAGGTTTCTATCTCAGTATTCTTAATATCTAATAAACCTTTTAATTTTTCAATTTCTGAATCCATTATCTCTTATTATGTAGAATATTATTTTTTTAGATTCTCAATTTATCCCTAATAAATAATATCTTATTTCTATCTTAAACTGTTAACATCCAAAGAAAATTCTCTTTCTTAATCTTATAATCTATTTCTTAAAATATCATTTTCTTTTAACAATTAATTCTCAAAATATTCCTTTTCTTGTAAAATTTGATTAAATTTTAATTCTAAATTATCCATCTCTTTATCTCTCATATCAGCATATTCTCTTAACTTTCTTACTTGATTCTATAACATATCTATTTAAGTTAGATAATTATGTTTTTACTATTCATTTTATACTAATTTACATATTATAAAAAATAATACTTGAAAAAGTTGTCTTTGTAGCTTCAACCTCTTAAGATCTCTCTTTCTCTAATAAATTATTTCGTTCTTCTAATAATTTTAATTCATTGCTTAATTTTTTTAAATCCAACTCATATTATGCTTTTACTTATATTATTTATAAATTATTTTATACATTATACTGCACTATTTAGTTATTGTTCATACTTGGATTTCCATAATTCACATTCAGTCTTTTTTTAAGCAAAACTTTTTTGAAGCTTATCTAGATCTTAATTAAGAATTTAATTCTAATGTAAAATGTATTCTGTTTTATCATCTAAAGTTCCTTATTTACTCATTCTTATCATCATTGCATCTAATTCATTTTTCAATTATCTTGAATAAATTTCAAGATCTGCACTTCTATTCTTGTAATATTCCAATTCTTCATTAAATAATTGCTGATCTGTATTTAGTCTATTCTCTTTGATACTTTTAGAAGTAAAAGAGTTTCTGACAGAACCATTTGTATCTATATTATAAGGATATTGCTTTTTATATTATGGACTTTGTGTATAAGGCTTATCTGATTTCATATGAGGTGATGAATTTAACATATTTGAATTCGTTAAAATAAATTAAAATTAACATCTTCATTTTCATAATTAACTAAACCATTATCTCTTAAATTGATTAAATTATTTTGCATTTTTAGCAAATAACTTCATACTATAAAATTTGAATTTTCAATTTCTTTTTTATAGAGGAATATATCTTAAAATAAAAATATTATCATTTCTTAAATTTACATTCCTTTTTTAAACTATTATCATTAGTATTAACAACACTGAGTTCAGCTAAAATATAAAAATTTTAATGAAAAAATGATTATTTTAAAAATACAAACTTTTACTTTAATACGATTTATTAAGTTATTATTTTTATTTTATATTAATTTATAATAAAAATCAGATTCTTCTCTCAATTTTGATTAATTTTAGAATTAAAAATACTAATTATAAAAGTATACTAAAAAATTTGATAAATTCAATTTATCAATATTATTAAGTAGTATAGAATGTAAGATTATATTATTTCTTTGATCTATATACAAATCTAAATAATAAAAAGTTAGTATTATTATCTTAGTTTGACGATTGAAATCTTTGAAATATGTTTTAATGATAATAAATTTTCAATTCTGTATTATTTTTTTGCACTTTTAAATTTTTTTATGGACCTTTCTTTTTTTTCTATGAATTTCTTTCTCATTATATGGAGCTGGTATAGGTTTGAGTATGATCCTTCTCTTTTTAACAATTTTCTTCATTTTGATCCTCTAATTATCTTGATTATCAAGCATTTCACCATCATATATTTTTTCTTAATGTTCAACTAAATCATCTTGATCTTATTATAATAGTCGGGTTTAATACTAATTTTATGTAAATATCGTTTGATTGATAAGCTACTTCTTCTGATACCGTTATCTTATAGTTTGCTCTAAAGATTATCCTTAACAATGTATGATGATGAACATAATCAGAAAAACGATAAAATGCTTCATGAAATAAATTAATTAAATCTCTAATTCTAGATCATATTCATCATTAATTTAAAGTTCGTTAATTCACTTATATAATTTTGAAAGTAGTTTTGAAAAGTGCACTGATAAAATATATTGATTGAGTTTGACTATATATATATTAAATTAATTTCTACTTAACTAAAAAGGGATAAAATTTAGATAAGTTATGTTTAAGTTTTAAATCAAATTTATTGTTGGACCAATATGGTTATATATAAATAATTGGTCAATAAGCAATAAGAATTTATAGTAATATGAAGATTAAATTGGATAATCTAATTCTCATAAGGAATAGCTAATACTTTTTAATTTATTGTTTTGATAATTGATACCTTAAAGAAATAAAATTATCAAAGATATATTGAGGAAGATTACAAATATATATCATTTTTATTATTTTTAATGAGAATCCCTTAATTATTTTGATATTTAATATCCAATTAAAATGATTTTCAAAGACAATTTAATATTAATAATATAATAATTCATTATTATTAGAAATATAACAAAATAAATCAACATCTATGCTGTATAAATTAAATCTATATGTATTGAGAAATATAATCGATTCATCAAAGAAAGAATTTCAAATATGAAACAATTGCCTAAAAAATAGGAATATAATAATCTTTTTGATAATATAAGGAATACTTAGATTTATTATAAAAAGTGATAAATGAATATTATATCTGTATTAAAAATTAAGATGAATATAAAGTTATTTTAACAAGAACATAAGATAATTTTAATAAATTGAATTACTAGAATCAATAATTAATAAAATATTTTAATTAAATCAAATCAATCTTAGGAAACGATTAAAGTCTATAGATCTAGAATCTATAGGTCTTATCAAATTATAAATATATTTTTATCTTATAAATAATAAAAAATCTCATTAAATAGTAGTGTGCCATCATATTATTATTAAAACTATCAATTAATAAATCAGATTTAAAAACAGGTAGTTAGATTATTGTTGTCATATGGGTGGAATTATTATTTAAATAATATTGAATTATTTTATTTGAATTTCAAGTAGTAAAATAATTATAATATTGGATTATTATCCTAAAATCTAAATAGGATATCTCATAATAATATAAATATCTATTAATAAGGTTTTATTAAGATATATATTAATAATTTAATGAATGAAGATGCTAAAAAAGAATATGAAATATTGATTCTAAACTCTTGATAATATTTATTATTTTATATAGATCAATTATTCTCTCATTTTTTCATTTTATGTTAATTATTCTTCTTTAAATTTATCTCCAATTAGACTAAAGGGGAATCACTTCCATCGTGATGTTTTTCTAATTTTACTTTTTTTTATTTTTAATTGCTTTTATTCAAATTATATAGGAAATCTTAATCTTATTCTTATTGAGCTTAAATTTAAGCATCTGTCTTATTTAAACAATGTTCACATTTACAAAGATCATTACATTTTATGTTTTGACTGTAACATTCACAATATTTTTTTTTACATCCAGATTTTTTACAATTACACCCTCTATGTATGACACTTGAATTATCTTTACTTGGTTCTTTTTATGGTTTATCTTAGATGAAATTAAGTATACCTTATTAAACAAATTAAGGAGCTCCCTTTGTTGTAAAACATTATGCAAAAGCATCAGCATTTCT